TAAAATCTGCTATCAGGGACCTCTCTACTATAGAGCATTGAAGAGCCATGATGTCACTTTAGAGACTAAGGTGTGCCTGATAAAGGCCATGGTCTTTACAGTTACTTGCTATGAATCAGAGAGTTAGACAATCAGCAAGGATGACAGAAGAATTGATGCATTTGAGTTCTGGTACTTAAGAACCATACTAAAAATAGGCAGCCAAGAGAATTAATAGGTCTTCATAGAGCAGGTGAAACCAAGCTGCTCCTTGGAGGCAAGGATTTTGAGACTCCGTCTTATATATATTTGGCTCACATACTCTGTGCCAGAAAGGACTAGTCTTTGGAGAAGGATATAATGCTTGGAAGATTTGAAGGACACCCTAGGAGAGAAAGATCCCAGATGAGATGAACTGACACAATAACTGGGGTAAGGGAGGTCGGTGTGGCATAGATAGTGAGATTGGCTGAGGATACAGCATAGTTCAGAATTCTTGTGCATAGGGTTGCTGTTAATCGTAGTCGACTCAATGGCAAATAAAAATAACATTTGCTGAAAGAAGTTACTAGTTTAATTCTTTCCATATTACAGAATATAGGTAATATCACCTATGAGATCTTTTTAATTTTCATTTACTGTTAATAGTAAACTAGTCTATTTGGATAATGCTTCCAATAATATTGGTCCATTAACTAAAAAATTTAAATATGAGCCGAATAATTTAAGAACCAAGGTTTCCAAAAAGATAAAATTGTCAATGGCATAAAACACAATGTAGATTCAAGGGAAAAAAAATAAAGATCATTATATTTTCATGTTAAAAGAAAATAGGTATTACAGGGGTCAGAGACCAGCCCCAGAGACACGTTATGGAGAATGCAGGCAGGGTAGCATTGTGGTTTAAATATTAAGCTGAAAACGAAAGTTGATGATTGAAACCCATCATTCACTCATGGGGAGAAGCATGTGAAATCTGCTCCTATAAAGCTGTATAACCTGAGAAATCCCATGTGGATTCTTCACTCTGTCGGTAGGGTTGCTTCTGCCTTGTTGGCTCTAGATGTAGGAGCATATACTGGAATAATAGTCGTGTTAACGGGTCCTCTCTGCGCACACATGGATATTATCCTATCACTCACCACATTGTATTTCAGGGCAGAACTTGAAATTGACTTTTTTTTAAACTATGAATGCAACACCATTCTTCTGTTTTTCATTCCATGCATAGTATATCATATGATTATCTGATTCAAAGTGTCCAAAGCTGATCCATCTCATCTCATCTCAATAATGTCTAGTACGTCAATATTCATGTGTGCGTCCATTTAATTTTTAAAAATTTCCAGCTTTCCAACGTTCAAGCTATGTTCATTCGTCTGTTAGATTCCATGTTCCAATTATTAAATGACGTATGTTATTGTTTTTCCTCATTTCACCTAACTTCCAATCTGGGCTTTACCATTATACTACTCTAAGTATCATCTTTCTTTAGTATTCATAAGGTTATCAAAGGGCTGTTTTCTAGAGCCAAAGAGGAAAAAAATTGAGAATATTTGTCAAATATTAAAATCCAAAATTGAACATGAAATCAATATATATTAATGATAAATGTTCACTGGGATGCAAAAGAGGGGAACAGTGAAGAAGGAATTGGAAAATACACGCCTGGTGATAGAAATGAGGCTGAAAATAGAATGACTAAATTTTGTATGTATAATTATTTATTCATTGCAAATACTTTAAAAAAACACACAAATGGCAACTTTATATATGGGCATCACCTGATGTACTGCATAGGAATCAGACTGACTACATTTATGGAAGAAATTGTTGGAGAAGCTCAGTATCAGCCATCAAAACTAGGTCAGGGGTGGACTAAGGTTTAGATTATCAATTACCTGTATACAAGTTCAAATTGAGGCCAAATAAAATGAAAATATGTTCATAGGAACCAAGACATGATCTTGAATCAATTCCATGTGAATTTCATGATCATCTTAAGAATGGGTTTGAGGCACTGAACACCAGTAATTTAAGGCCAGATAAATTTTAAGATGTAATGAGGGATATCATCCATGAAGAAAGTAAAAGGTGATTACAAAAATGAAGGAAAAAGAAAATAACAGAATAGATGTCACAAGAGACTCTAAAGATTGCACTGGAGCACTGAGCAGCCAAAACAAAAGGAAAACAAGTCAAAGTAAAAGAAATGAAGAAAAGTTTTCAAAGGACAGATTGGGTGGACAAATCAAAGTATTATAATGGAATGTTCAGAGACCTGGAATTGGAGAACAAAAAGGGAAGAACATGCTAGGCATTTCTCAAGCTAAAAGAACGGACAAATAAATGTAAGCTTCATGTCACAATACAGAAAGATGCTATGGGGCAATACGTTGAATGACCCAGAAAGCGTCAAAAGATGGAAGGAACACACAGAATCACTGTGCCAGAAAGAATTGATTGCCACTGAACATTTTTCAGGAATTACTATATGAAGGAGCAAAGGGAAATGAATGAGGAAGTGGAAGCTCTATTGAAGGTATGGAAAAAAATAATGCCCTAGGAATCAATGGGATACCAATTGACTTGTTTCAATTAACAGAGGAAGCCTTGGATGAGCTCACCAGTCTATGCTATGAAATTTTGAAGGATAGCTGTCTGGCCAAAGGATTGGAAGAGGTCCATACTGGTTTCCATTTCCAATAAAGGTGATCCAACTTAATGTGGAAACTATTATATAATATTATTAATATTACATGCAAGCCAAATACTGCTGAAGATCATTCAAAAATGGCTAGAGCAGTACATAAACAGGGCTCTGGCAGAAGTTCAAGCAGGATTTAGAAGAGTTTGTTGCACCGGGGATGCTGACATCAGCTGGATCTTGGCTGAAAGTTAAGAATATCAGAATAATATCTAGTTGTTGGCATTTCACTGTGTGGGTCCTAACAAGTTGTGTCCGATAGAAAAATGGAAGTCCCAGAGCACATAATTGTCTTCATGTGAAACTTATACCTGGACCAGGAGGCTGTTGTGTGAACCAAGCAGGTTCTGCATGGTTTAAAATTGAGAAGGGTGTGAAAAAAAAATTGAGAAGGGAGTGCATCAGGGTTGTGTTCTTTTCATATTAATTGAATTTGTATGCTGAGAAAATTATCTAAGAAGATGAATAATACTATGAAGAGGAGTGTGGCATCAAGATTGGAGGAAGACTCATCAATAACCTGTGTTATTCCGTTAACACAACTTTGTTTGCTGCAAGTGTTGAGGACTTGAAGCACTTGTAGAGGATGAAGGAATGCAGCCTTCAGTATGAAATGCATCTCTCAATATCAAGAAAACAGATTCTTACCACTGGACCAATATAGGCAGTGTGATGATGGATCGAGAGGATTTTGAAACTGTCAACAGCTTTATCTTGCTTGGATACAAAGTTAACACCCTTGGTACCAGCAGTCAGGAAATCAGGAAATACATTGTACTGGGAAAATCTGCAGTTAGGGACCTCTCCAATTTATTGAGGAGCAATGATGTCAGTTTGAGGACTAAGGTGTGTCTGTTTCAGGCCATAGTCTTTCCAATTATGTGCTATGCATCTGAGAGCTGGACAATGAAAAAGGATAACAGAAAATGAACTGACAACTTTGAGCTGTAGTGTTTAAGAAGAGCACTGAACATCCCATGGACAGCCAGAAGAATGGAGTACTCTTTGGAGGCAAGAAAGATGAAGCTTTTCCTCATACACTTTGGGCATGTTGCTAGGAGAGGCTATTCCTTGGAGATGGACCTGATGCTGGGAAGAACGGAAGGTCAGCAAAGTGAGGAAGACCTTCAATCAGATGACTGACTCAGTGACTGCTGCAACCAGCTCTTATGTGACAGGAAGCGTGAGGATGATCCAGGATAGAACAGGCTTCAGATCATTTGTTCATAGGGTTGTATGAGTCGTGCTTGACTTGAGGGCAACTAACAACAACGATAGGGTTACTAAGCATCAGAATCAACTAAATGGCAATAGGTGGACAGGCAGCTGTGTGAAATTCTCTTGGCATATAGGTCAAACCTAATTTCCTCTGGTGTTCCTGTTGTGGAGAGAGGTGACTGTCAACACTGCACTCTATGGCATCCTGGCAGGGTTTGGCTCCCGTTACCATCTTCTGATCTTTTGGACAGGAATCACCTTTTCAGTCAGTGAAAAAAAACAAAGGATCTCCACAACACTGTCTCGATTTCTAATAGCCTTTCTCTGGCTTATGCCAAATGTCTTATTATCACTGCCTATTTTATCTTGAGTTCCTAATTTCTGTACTGTGTCATTTATTTAAACATTCTCTAGAATTTCAAGACAAATGTCCCCCCCCCTCCACCATCTCTTGGCCTTGAATCCCAAATGCAGTTTCACTCACTCCACAAAAATAACTCATTACACAGTTCAGTATTTTTAGATTCTGACTTCCATCTGAATTCTTACTGGGCTGTGGTGTATCCTGATTCTTCATCTAATAAAGCAACATTGTTGTTCATCGTTTCTTTGGAGAAAAAAAATTCAAATGAAATTGAAAGCTCCAAAGAAAACTTAAATACCTGTTTTTGATATAAACAATTTTCTGTGTAATAGTAAAAAAGGTGAAAAATGGATTTTTCTCTTAACCATAAAAGACTGTCTACCTTTTAACCTTTTGGTCTGAAAAAGATATAAAAGTCCCATTATTTAATGGACCTTTCAAGCAGTCTTGTGAAACAAGCCTGAGCATTTGTCAAATGAAACTATTGTCAGTACTTCAAACATTCCAATTCAAAGAGCACAGACAATGTAAACTCACTTTAATCTTCTTGAAAATGTCTGCCACAAGAAAAACAAAAACTTTTTGCTCTTGATGTTATATAGGCGATCCTGTGCTCCTTTATTGATTAAAAGCCTGGCTTTCTGTTTCTTTCCTTATTTAATGAGGATCCTCTTAAATGCCACTGTCATTTATTGAGGATATGTCTTCTGAACACTACCTAAAAGGCTTTACCTCAAAGGCCTGAAAGGTCAGTCCGACATAGTAGTCCTCAGACACTGTTATTTTCCACACACATTCTTTCATTGGTCTGTAGTCATCAGGATAATTAGGTGACTGGATCTGTCCTTCATTTCTACGTATCTCCCCTCCACAGATTGCTGAGGGAAACAAAAATAAATACATTTTGACACCCAACTTCCTTTTCCTTTACACCTTAGATAATATTTTAACTTCATTTATTTAATGGACTTATATCAGGCAAAATTTTGAATAGCTGCTTGTAGTGTCACTCTGAGTTCAGATTGACTCAATAGCTTCTAACAGCATTTTTTAATACTGTTTTGCATAAAAAATTGGTATACACTGTATTTCACTCATATGCACATTCCTTAATTTACACTGTGATTCACAGAATCATTTCTATGTTTTGTCTTATGCAATTAATCACTATTGATCTGTCTATTCCCAATATTACCCCATCTTTTCAGGTCCTCACTATTTCTTTCCTAATTGCTTCACTCTCTCCCTCTGCCCAACAAACTGTGTGATCTTGCTAGTCTTTGGTTTTAGAAACCTACAGAACTAAGCATTGATTTCTTCAACACTGATTTTCTCATTTAGAAAAGACATGTTTCAAAAATGTGAACCATTGCTTTCTTTGCAGTTCTTTGTAACAGGCTGTTTCAGCAGCATAGGAACCAAATAGAACAAAATTAGTATAAAAAAAGTGATTAGCTTTTTCATAATATGTTAATATTACAATTAGAATGCAACTGAAATGTAAGGCCTTTTGTGCTTTTGGGGAATTCTTTTCCTACACATCGTTGAATACATTCAAATGACATTCTATAATTAATACTAAAATAGAGATTGTTCTTTCAATTTAAATTCGCTAAGTATTCTTATTAAAATCACCTACATGAATATCAGAATGTAGCTTTCAAGACTTTGGTCATTCTAAAACATGGTTGTAGTACTATTTTAATGGAATTGTGTGGGACAATATTTATGTGGACACATATAAGAAGAACTGATACTTAAAATTCAAAGTGACTTACCTTCATAGACACCTGCAAAACCTTTTCCTACCCAATTACTGCTGCTACGAAACTCAATCCACATCCTGCTGTCAGTAGAAGTCAGAACTTCAGGCAATTTGTCCCCACAAAATCTACCTAGAGAAATAAAGATAAAAAATAAAGACTAGTAAAAAGTACTCTGTTTAGTTATTCACGTATGTGTATCTGCGTATTGTGCTTGAAATGAACTTTCTTCTAAGTGGTACAGCACTATGTGTCAATTTGCTGTACTGAGGTAACTTGGGGTGTCTGTGATGAAGAACACTGTGCCACTGGTGTGTCAAATGCCATAATGGTTACTCATAGTGGACAGTATTTGGTGGAGCTCCCAGATTAAGACAGGCTTGGAAGCAAGAATGGCATCCAATTTCTAAACAACGTGCCTCTGGAAACTATGAATTTAGAAACACTACAATAGTTATGGAACAGGGTTCAGGTCTTTTGTTCATTAGTTCGCTATGAGTCGTACTTGACTTGACAGCACTTAACTATATATATATATATATATATACACACACACACATATATATATATAGAGAGAGAGAGAGAGAAAGAGAGAGAGAGAGAGAGAGAGAGAGAGACTGTGCTGCTGAGTCAGAACAAACTCATAGCTGCCCCTCCAGTATGTTTTCAAAGGCAGTAAGTCCCACAGGAGGAGAGTGGAGTGTACATACACACATGCACACTCCCATCCAAGCCAAGCCCATTTACTGTTGAGTCCATTCCAACTCATGATGACTCTTCACCAGATTTCCAAAATTTTAAAACTAATAGATGAATAGGAGAAACTATTCCTCTTTTTTCTACGGTACCATTCATGAATTTCAACTGCTGACCCTTTGGTTAACACCTCCAAATATGATAAAATATAAAATATTCACTATTAATTCCCATTTATAGCCCCAGTGACTAAAATATGCTTGTATTTACTTATTGGCTAAAGCAATCCTTCATATCAACCTATGAAGAATTTGAACATTTAATTTTATCCTGTAACTGGTATGACTGAAGAAGCAAATTAACAAATATATTTATGAATAGTCACATGATTCATCATCAAGGTAGGGAAGAGAAAAAAGTAGATGAAGTTATCCCAAGAAACTGCTTCAGATTATCACTCTAGTCATTAGTAGGGGAATAACTTGGTTACTATTTTATCAGGATAAGGTAGACTTCTTTGTCTAGAGAGTTCACTACTTACACAGCCAGCAAATCTTTAGGCTACTCCAGACAAGTCAGGGGCATGCAGCAGAGAGCATTGCTTTTGAAACTTTAATACACACATGAATTCCCAAAGAATATTTTCAGAATGAAAGTTCTAATTCAGAAAATGTGATTTGGTGGCTAATTGGTAAGGAACTGCACTCTCAAGGTGGAGGTATATGTCTTGATTCCACCAATCTCATTCTGTGCAATTTATTGCTTCTGAAAACCCCCTGGTGTGTTAGTCATGGACCAATTCTGACTCAAGAGTGTTGTTGTTGTTATGCGCCGTCGAGTCGTTTGCGACTCATAGCGACCCTATGCACAACAGCCCAGGAGTACACAACAATAAAAATTTAGAGAATATGGAGAAGAACCTGTTTTGACATTTTCAACAGTCTTCCAGTTATCTTTTTCCTATGCTGCTACACTGAGGGCCATGACTGGAGGAGGTGGCTCTTAGTGGGAATAGTGTGGCAAATGTTGTACACACAAAAACATTATCAGATAGAATCATCCTGGTGTGCCAACATAGTAATGAACCACAGAATGTTGGTGATGCTCAGAATGAAGTATCTAAAAATCTCTAATATGAATCTCCAAAAATAACTCTCTCTCTCAGTGCCATCTACTTGGAACCAAATGGGAGTTGATCCTTTGTGGGTTTCATGAGGCTATAAATCACATAGGAGATAGCTTAGCTTACCCCTAAGTGTGTAAGGAAATTTCCTCTTTAAGAAAGTGTCTTCGAATCCATATAACAAATATATACATATATTCATGTAGGCAGGAATAAATATACACATATACTAATATAGAAAGGAAACTAATCTTGAAGACAATGTGTTCCTCAATAAAAAATCAAATTGATTCAATTATCTTTTTTCTTATTTTTAGATATTCCTACAGATTTCTTGAATCTTCTAAGGATTCTGTTGTCTCTTTTAACAAAAATAGTGTCTATTCAGCAGTTTTTTTTTATATAAAGAAAAAGATCTGCAAGGAGCCTTAGCACATTGAGCACAGCTCTTTCTAAATATAAATGAAAAGTCATGATCTCAAAGAAAATCAATATAGACTAGGTGCTTACACATTGAAAACAGCTCTCACCTTTAAGTAAAACAGAGGGCAACAGTAAACTGTCTCATGCGAGTAAATGGTGTGGTCTGTGGTTAAACATTGCCAGCGGACACTAATGTGTTCCAAGTCTGAGTTACAATTGAAGACACAAACTACAAATAACTCTCTTAGAAGCAAAACACTACAGTAGGAGGTAATACGCTTGCCACAGGAAGACAGCTACTAGCATGCACCTAACATCGTACATTCTACTATGTAAGCAAACAAACAAAAACCCACACACACACTTTTTTTGGTGTCCTCAGCAAATTTATAATTCTTTAATGAAAAGGAAAAAAAATAGGAACATTGTAAAGAATCACTATAAGCTCAATATGTGACAGTAATTATGCTGTGATCCAAGTATTTACCTTTTATTGTTCAGCAGAAAGTTAAATTAATTCATCATATGATCTCTTTTTAAGCATTTTTCTATGGTTGAAAAGTATTAAAAAAATAAGACAGCGTTAGTCACACATTATTAATTCTAAGAATGAATCTTGAAAGAATCTGTTGGTTTTGACAGGGAAGTATATATGTGTAACCATACACACATGCAAATAATCTCTTACCAAGGAGAGGTGACTTTCTCCAGTATCCATCCCTTACTTCAATGTAATCATACCAACATAGACTACTCTTGTACAGGTCCATGGTGGTGAAATTTAAAATAATCTGTCAAATAACACAGTACAAAGGAGGAAATTATTATGACTTTACATTGTGTTTGATTCCTCAAGGCAAGAAAACTAGGACAAAAACTAACTCACTGATAAGTCTGGTTTAGTTTGGTTTTTGCTATTTTTTTTCTACATTAGATTACTTTAATGATGGGATTTTTCCCCCTACTAACAAATACTTTAAAAAGGCATTTTATTATTCTAATAGACTTTTAGCAATACAGAAACATTAATAGTTGAACAAATAAACGTTTAAGCCATTAACCTACTATAGAGTTAATGGGAACAACTGGGAAATAAACAGACATCTTTCCCGAAATATTCTATTTTTAATTGTGCTAAGATAGATGTAGCCTAAACTATGAAAAACACGAATTTTCCCATGAATGTCTTTTTAAAATAGTTTATTTCAAAGATGAACAGTCAGACATCCATAATTATGTTAAAAATAACCACCATATGTCATATTCCAAGAACATAATATCATTGTGTATATTGAAATGTTTTAAGTATGGTCCTTGAATTAGTATTTATCCATCTAACTGTAATCAAAGGCAGATGTCATTATGCTTCTCTGGACCCAAGAATATGTATTCAAAGAGCCTGCAAACTAGAAGACCTAACCCGTGTTTCTTCCTATAAGCTCTGCTTTGGAATTCTGCTGCTGTTTTCTTAGTTAGTCTTCAAGAACAATTTTAGGAACCATAACATTTAAAAAAGATTTATAGACTAAATTTTTAAAGGAACTACTTATTTACTTTTTTTAATTTTTACTTTTTTTTCTTGTTTTACATATTTACTCACTCATTCATTGATACTGGGTTGGAATTGATTCATAGCTACCCTTTCCAGTAGGTTTTCAGGGGCTATAAGTTGAATAGACGGAGGAAGTTGCCAGTCTTTCATGTACAGTATAACTGGTGGATTTAAACTATCAGAAAGGTGCCTCTTTTGGGTTAACAATGCAAACTCCATAGTACTGTACAACCAGAGCTCCCTAATGAGTTGTTTTACAAAGGTAACAGGAGAAAACATCTGTCTATTGAAGTAAAAGGTATCATTTTTTTATATATATTCAAAACTCATTCTGTTTACTTGAAATGCCAAAGATGATTAAGATTTATGGAGAAACTGTTCTTTTTGTTTTATTTGTAGGGAAGCTGTTTTTCACTGCAGAAACAAAAATAGACTTTTGTGGAAAGAAGAGATTATGAGTAGTAGAAACACTTCTGCAATAAAAACTAAGTTGTAACAATATGGGTAAACTACAAAGGATATTTTTGTGGAAGAACAAAAAACTGAATGCAATAGAATGCTCTCAAAGAATCTTAAATACATATAAAAACTGCAATAATAGAATTCTTCATTTACATGATTACTTTATACAGAAAAATCATACTATTACTCTTTTCCCTAAATATAACATTTAATTTAAAAGTAATTAATCGCTATCTTTTCCAAAATGAAGAGAGAGTATAAATATCGAAGTCTCACATGAAGTCTTGCATCTAGATCTTCAAGAATCACTGATAAAATAAGCATCAAAGTTGATTGTCATTATCCATATATTCTTTTTTTTACTAAAGTATTCTTTACTGCAGACACTGAAATTAATAATATATGTAACTATAAAGAAAGTTGTATTTTTTAAGGTTATTACTCTTTCATTACTAAATTCAGCTATTTCCATTTCTTTTAACATGAAATTTTCTGTTTATAAAGAAAAGCTTCCAAATTTAAAAAGTTATTCTTTTTTAAAAAAATGAATAAATGTGATTGTAAGATTAATATCAGCAGAGTATGGTTAAATTTTTTCCCTAACAAATGTAATACATTAGGTTCTTACATAATTTGGTTACTCATCAACCACCTACATTATGTAGATGACACAATGCTGCCTGGTAAAACTGAGGAGGACCTGAAGCCCTTGCTGCAAAAGTTCAAGCACTGTACTCCTCAATATGTATTGAAGCTCACCATCAAGAAGATGAAGATTCTCTAGGCCAATTGGTAGCACCATGATAGAGGAAGAGACTGAGGTTTTTAACAATTACAGCTTGCTCAGCTCCACAATCAAAACTTTTGGCACCAGCAGTCAGGAAATTTAAAGATGAATTGCATTGAAAGTCGGCTGTTGGGAACCACTCCAGAGTACTGAAATGCAACGATGTTAGTCTAGAGACTAAGGTGTGCCTAATCCAGGCCATGGCCGTTGCAATTACCTGCTATGCATCAGAGAGCTGGACAATGACTAAGGATGACAGAAGAAGAATTGATGACTTAAGGTGTGGTGCTGGAGAAGATTCTCAAACATACCATGGACTGCCAAGAAAACAAATAGCCTTGTCTTGGAGAGGGTGGAACCAAGTTTCTCCCTGGCGGCTAGGATTATGGAACTCCATCATACATACTCTGGACATGTGAGCAGGAGGGACCGGTCCTTGAAGAAGAATATCATGCTTGGAAGGGTGGAGGGACAGCGCTGGAGAGAAAGTCCCCACATGAGATGGATTGATACAGTAACTGGGGGTATGGGGTTAGGTGTGCCAGAATCAGTGAGAGTGGCTCAGGACAGGGCAAGATTCAGAGCTGCTGTATATAGGGTCACTATGGGTCACAGGCAACTTGACAGCATATAACAAAAAAACAACAACAAAACATTCCCATTTTTTATCTTCTTGCTTCTACCTTATTTCCTTATTTTATTTCCCCTTTTGCCTCATTTTATAATTCTAAATTTTATGCAAAAAATAAAGAAATATCAAAACCACAAATAGATAAAGTTTCACCTCAGCGCCAACGTTGAAGTTTAACAAAAAACCAAACAATAAATGTTGGAGTGGATATGGAGAGATGGGAACTCTTAGGCACTGCTGGTGGGATTGTAAAAGGGTACAATCACTATGAAAGGCAGCTTGACATTTCATCAAAAGGTGAACACAGAAATCCCATATGGCCCAGTTATTCAATTACTAGGAACATTACTCAAGAAATTCAGAGTCTAGACATGAACAGAGATATGTACACCTACATTCATCACAGCAATATTCACAACAGCAAGAAAATAGAAACAAATGCTCATCAGCAAATAAATGGGAAGCGAAACTACTGTATATTTACACAATGTAATACTATGTGGCACTTTAGGACAATGAAGTATTTGCTAAATATGATACAACATGGGAAAAATCTAGAAGGAATTATGTTGAGTGCAATAACTCAGTCACTAAGGGACACATAAGATTGTATAAGATGGATACGCCTTCCTCATATATATTCCATATGATCATATAAAAATTCACTTATTAATAGTAAAGATTGTACAACTAGAACAAACAGAAACAACAGACATTAAGTCTCCTTCATGGATTTTGTGAACTTTTGTAACTGTGTGTAAATTTTTTTTCACTTTTTCTCAATGGAAAAAATAATCATTAAAACTGGAGAAAACACAATTTTACTGATTTTTTTTTAATTAAAAAACCTATTTGATGGCTAACAAAAGTTGTTCTTAGATGCCATTGAGTCAAGCATGGCCCAGTTACCTTTTGATAACAGATCTGAACCGCCTCCTATCGTATCCTTTCTCTATCATCGCCGACACACTTGAGCCCATAGCTGTGATCAATGTGTCAATACATCTCATTGAGAGTTAACTTCTCTTTTGCCAACCCTCCACTTGTCAATTTAAAGGGTGCTTGCAGTTCTTTCTCTTCAGTTTCAGTAACTTCCAATTTGGGTTCTATCTCTAATACAATATTCCTCTATTGTTTATGGGATTTTCTGAGGCTTTTTGCTTAAGAAGTGAGTGGTCAATTCTGGTTCCTAGTGTATCTTAACCTGGGTGCTTTGCTAAAATTTAAAGTCTATGAGTAATCATATCATCTGAAACATTTGATGGTTTAGCTTCTATAACCCACAGCAACCCACAAGTTACCTCAATACAGCAAAACTGATAGACTAGTGTTGTACTAATAAGAGAAAACAATAAACAAGAAAGCATATATAGATATTAGCTACGAAGTAAATAAAGGTGGAGGGTGGAAAGTCTAACCTCTTAAGTGATGATGGAGGTCTCAGCTAGCAAATGGTTAATATTAAAATCTTGAAAGACACATATGCACATATTATAAGATGGTTAATGTCAAGTAGAAAAGTTTCCTATCTCGTTTTTAATCTTCTATTTAAATGTCATGTATCATAGAGGAAGAAAACTGGTCTGACCTTAATATAAAACAGTCTTTTAGAAACATAAAATGTATAAAGATAAGTTTTCTAAAATAAAATCTTAGAGTTCTGACTGTAAAAATAAAACTCTTGCCTTTGACTCAATTTTCCAATAGAATTCATGGCTAAAATAAAAATCGAAAGTGCTTACAAAGTATTTTATAGCATTATATTTTGATATTTTGTGTAAAAATATATGACATTTTAGCAAAGAAGTAGAAAACAAAACTATATAACACCAATATATAAATGCTTTATTTCTAATGTACGGCCAATGTGAAATTAATTTCAAAACTGAAACTAATCACAGCTTCATTAAAACATGAGGTTAACGGGGATGCTGCACCAAGTCTAAGATGTCCTCTCAAGTATTTGTAGCACTACAGAAAATTTAAATTGCTATAATTTTTGGTTAGTTTGTATAATAAGCAGTTTTGTTTTAATTGCTGCAGAGTAAAGAATATTGAACTTCTAAAGTACAACGTTAATATCAACTTCTAAATGATTTGAATAACTAGAAGTCCCTAAAGGCCAATATAGTTAATAAAGTTTCCATCAACACAATTAACGATATTGCAATATTGATTGATTGATTGATTGTTGTTGTTAAGTGCCCTCCGGTCATAGATGACTCATAGCGACCCTACAAATGAAGTATTACATTTTGCCAGTGCCTTCAGTGTATCTTGGACTTTTTTCTTCAGTAGACTATTGATTCTTGATCATATGATATTTCCAAAATGATACTACATCAACCAATTATTCTGC